CCGGGAAGGGCTTGTGACTTAACTGTGCAGAGCCCAAGTGAGACAGAGTTGTTCGGAGACACCAGGAGGAGTGTAGTTTGGGGCCTTTCTTCCTCCTCAGAGGCCCCGCACTTCGATCTCTCCCACCGAGCAAGCGCGCCAGCACACATCCCAGAGAGAACTGGTTGCTGCTAAGGGCCTCTTTCAGCAATTTTTCTTCTGTTCAGTGGCTTTTTTTTCTTTTGTCCCTTTGCACACAAGGAGATAGGGTGACGACACGTAGTCCAGGCAGGCCTCAGACTCATGATCCTTCTGTATGCGTCTCGTAAGCGTTGGGATTAGGAGTGCGCCCCACCACACAGACTTTCGTTTCCTTTTTTGTCCTTTTTTTTAAAAAAAAATTTTGTTTGTTTTTGAGATACGATCTCGCTGGTAGTTTGGGCTGGCCTTGAACTCACTGCAGTCCTCCTGCCTCGGCCTCCCAAGTGCTGGAATTACAGGGATGTGTCACCATGGCCAGCTTTAACTCTTTTTCAAAACGAAAATGGAAAAAACCTAAAAAGGGGGCTGGGGATTTAGCTCAGCGGCATAAGTGCCTGCCTTGCAAGCAGGCAGTTGTGAGTTCGATCCCTGGTATGGGTAAAAACGAAAAAGACAAAAAAAAAAAAAAAAAACCAAAACCCTAAAAAGGTTTTTTTCTGATTGTAAAGGAAATGTTCTGTCTTTATAAAATAGAATGTCAATAATATAATAATACAAAGCATAAAAAGCGTTTGGAGGTGAAGTTCAGCACTGGGGTCTTTACCCAGCATGCACAGGGCCGTGATCTCCATCCCTACCCCTAAAACAGGAAAAGTAGGTCACCCACAGGGAGTCCCTGGAGTCGCCAGCCTGGCAGCCTGGCGTGGGACCTGGCAGACACTCCAGGCACTCACACAACATGGCATGTAGTCACAAAGTGACCTGCGTGAGGCTCTACCCTGCACCCTCCCCCTGGGACCTCCAGGAGCTCTGTCCTTTTCCTTCTCCTGCTGCAAGATCTACAGGCCACAGAAAGCCATGGCGGGGACTTAATAAGCCTTTAATGAGCTTAATAAAGACACCTAAGTGGCGTTATGATTTTAGCAATTTGGTCATGGAGCATTGCATCCTCCACGCAGCGGGAATTTGCACACTGTCTTCACAGCCCTGCTTGGTCGGACCAGTTCGGCTCTGGCCCTGGGTTTTCCCTCGTCCCAGGAGCAGGTTCGTCATCTCTGTCACCTCACCTGAAGTTGAGGATGGGAACAGCTGGATAGAGTCCTAGATGCTATGGGCCAAGTGCTATGCACTCAGGTACATGCACACATTGCTGGGACTCCATAACAAAAGAATAGGAAAGAAATTAAAATTTCTAGACCTAGGAAGGGGGCGAGAATTTTGGAGTTTCCTGGACAACACTTACACTGTTGGGCCTGTGTAGCAACAGACCCAACAGAATTCACAGATTCCACCCAAAGTGCTGAGGCCTGGATGGTTGTGTCTGGACTGAGCATGCAGAGACATTGTTCCCTAAAGGACATGGCAGAACGGCTCTGCATGCTGCTTTACATGAATGGGGCACTGAAGTCATCCAGGATGATCTGCAGTGTGCAGAAGACATGCACGGGCTGTGTGAAAACCCTGTGCCATGCCACATGCGGAACCTTCTGAAGACTCTGCTGCTCATGGGCATCCGGACCCCATCCCTCCTTGGATACTGAAGAAGACCTATAACTGAGATTGCACCAAAAATTCAGACCAAAACCAGACCAGGTGGTGTGTACCAGTGTCCCAGCATGCTGGGAGGCTGAGGCAGGAGGATCACCAGGCTGAGGTGGCCAACTTAGGGAGGACTTCTCTTCAAATAAGGGGCTGAGGGTGAGTGGTAAAGCTTCGTTCAGTCTCCACTATTGGAAGAGAAAAAATTAGAGCCTAAAACAAACAAAAACAGCTCAGAGGTCAAACTAATAGCCCTATGTGCAGTAATTCTAAATATTATCCAGGTCGATAAAGGATACAATGGGATGATGGTGTCATATGTGGACTATCTCTAAAGGCACTGCCGTGTCCATCTCGGGATCCTGGAATGTGCTTCCTAAAATCTGAGTTCTAAACCAGGCTTGGTGGCCCATGCCCGTGATCCCAGCACTCAGGAGGCTGAGGCAGGAGGATCACCATGAATTTGAGGCCAATGTGGGCTACATAGTGAGTTCAAGCCCAAGATGAGCTACATAGGGAGACCTTGTCTCAAAAAAAAAAAAAATCCAAATAAAACACACAACATCAAACCAAGTTCTACTGGTTCCAATTTCATGAGCCATATGACCTTGGGCAAGTGCCCTAATCCTCTGCAACCTGTTTTCTCCTCTGTGAATTGAGGCTTATGATCCTGCCCAACCTGTCCAACAGAGTTACCCTGAGGTGCAGACCAGGTGCCACACGTGAAAGTGGTTTGGAAATATACTGAACCTGGCACACCTGGCACCAGGAGGCTTCAGGCCACTGCCCAGGGCTGGGGTGAGGGCAGCTGACCAAAGTGACCTCCCAGGCAGATGGGGGAGGGCCCTAACCCTGCTCTCAGTGCCAGAGATCAAAGAAGAAAAGACAGAAGTAGGGCTGGGCATGGTGGCCCATGTCTGTCACCCCAGCACTTTGGAAGGCTGAGGCAGGAGGATTGCAAGTTCCTGTCCAACCTGGACATCCTAACAACTTGGCCAGATTCTGTTTCAAAATTAAAAAGAATAAAAGGGCTGGGGATGTGCAAAGGGCCTGGGGTTAGTACCCAGTCCTACAAAAGACAGCAAAATGAAAAGAAATAAAAGAACTGAGTGCGGGGCTGGGGATTTAGCTCAGTGGCATAAGCGCCTGCCTTATAAGCAGGCAGTCGTGAGTTCGATCCCTGGTACCGATAAAAAGCGAAAAAGACCAAAAAAAAAAAAAAAAGAACTGAGTGCAAGCGAGGTGTGCTCTAAACACAATGAAACAGGTCTCTGCATAAAAGGACGAGGTGGGGACTGGCTTGAGGACAGTCAGAGCAGGCTGCTGTCCAGCCGTGACACCTGAGAACCAGCCCTGAGGGACAAGGACAGCTGTGTAAGGCCCGGGGCACGGAGTGTCCAAGACAAGGGAACAGTCAGGGCAGAAGCCCCAGGAAGAAGCTGGTGGCTGGGAGCCGAGGGGTGAGAAAGGGGCAGGGCGGGCAGCACAATGGACAGATAGTGGGTCGGGTCTGCTCCTCAGAGCTCTGTCAGAAGCCGTACCAGGGCCCTGGAGAAGTTCAAGGGCATTCACTAGGAGCCGCACAGCAGGGAAACTGAGGCACAGGGAACAAGTGGCCTGCCCAGAGCACCCAGCTGCTCTGTTCCTGGCTGCCATCGGGCCAGGTCTCTAGTGCATCCTCTGCTTCCAAGGCTGATGTCCTCAGGGGAGCAGGAAGAGGCCTGCACCATCACCCCAGAGCCCCAGGACTTCCTGCTGCAGCCCCTGACACCCATTCTGGGCTCCAGCCCTGGGAGTCCTGACCCTCTACTGGCCAGGGAACTAGGGTCAGCTCTGTGAGCCCAGGCCGCCTGGGGCAGCCCGGGAGCAGGAAGTTGGTCCGCGGCCAGCCAGAGGCTCAGCACCTGCACCTGCAGCCTTTGTTCGTTTTCCTCCTGTGAACTTTCCCAGCACCTGGGCCAGCTAGGGGCTCCCACGGGATCTGGTTCTCCTGCTCCAGCCAGCAGCCAACTGTGACACTGCAGGAGGGCTCCTGACAGAATCATCACAGAAACAATGTCCTGGGCCACTCGGGAAACACAGAAATGCAGGCAGCCCCAGAGCCTCATCACCCCATTTCACAGAGGGGAAGCTGAGGCACTGATGTAAGGCAACCTGTTTATGGCCACACATGTAAGACATGAAGATCCTGTGGCTTTGGAACCAACAGGTCCTGCTCCCTCTGGCCTCTGTACCTCCTTGGGTAAGGCACCTATTTACTATTATTTAAATTTTTATTAGGCCATGTTTGCGGTAGGTAGATTACATTCATCATGGGAAGCTGACACAGATAAGAGACACATCTTGATTGTTCTTGTGTCCCCTTTCACCCGTCCTCCCCCTTAGGTGAGGCTTTTGAATTTCTTCTGATTCAGACTTTGGAAGGCAGCCTTGAAGACTCAGTGATTTGGCCTGGAGCCGTAGCTCAATGGCACAGGCCAGATCAGGCTGCACAAAGTCCAGGGTTCCTTCCCCGGAATAACAGGACAGAGCAAAACCAGGGAAAAAAAAACAGGAGGAAAAAAGCCAGAGAGTAAATCAGATCTTGTGAGGTACCGAGGATACAGCTCAGCAGCATAAGCGCCTGTCTGGCAAGCACAAGGTCCTGAGTTCGATCCTTGGTACCAAAAAAGAATACATAAATAAATAATGATCACTAAATCAGATCTTGTGAAGCACATCTGTAATCCCAACACTCGGGGAGTCTGAGGCAAAAAGATTACAAATTCAAGCCCAGCCCGGGCAATTTAGTGATTTAAATCTGTCTCAAAATAAAAATAAAACTGGATGTTGTATCCAATTCCTATAATCCCGGCACTCAGGAGGCCGAGGCAGGAGGATTGCCATGAGGTTGAGGCCAATGTGGGCTACACAGACAGTTCAAGGCCAGCCTAAACTACACTGTGAGACCCTGTCTCAAAAACACAAAACCAAATAAATAGCTAGGAACACTGTTCAGGCCCTAGGTTTGATCCTTAGTATAAAAAAAAATAAATAAAAACAAAAAGCCATAGATCAAATGATTTGACACAGGGAAAGCTTTTATGCACCATGTAACTGGCAACAGTATCTCTTCTGATTTGCCACAGCTCTGTGACCTGGGCGCGGTACCAACACAGCTGGCATAATAATATTACCTAAGAGGGCTGACGAGAGCCTGAAGCCCTGTCACCTCCTGTGAGGAGGCCACTCTTCTGACATTACAGATGGCTAAGTCGGGTAGAAATATTCCAGGCAGTTACTGTGATCTCCAGTATTGTGTATTGTAATCCAAGTATTGTAATCCCTTTCCAATCCAAAAAGCTATATTTGTAATCCCAGTGAGACGTTATTGGAATCCCAGCAAGTTCATTTCAACCTACCACCCCCAAAGCAACCACGGCCAGAGTGAAGACACTGAGACATATTCAAAGCTCAGGGAGCCACGGAGTCCTCAGCCCGGTCCCCATGAGGATGTGTGGACAGAGGCCTCTGATCCAAGGCCTCTCCCAGAATTTATTATCTTGTGAAGAAGCAGGTGGCTTCGAGGATGAGTGACAGTGAGGATGGCGGGAATTACGTGAGAAACTTGAGCTGGCTGGCCCGGTGGGTAGAAAAGCACCTTTGTAAACTGCAGGGAGAATGAGAAGGATCAATCTGCACAATACAACTAGGTTGGCAACTGAATTGTTTTTGGAGGCTGTTGCTTTAGTTGTTGATATGTAAACTTTTCTGCCCTGGCGACTCCTGGCCCCTTTATTCTGAGGCTCATACACAGTTGACATCCCTGGAACTGACTGCTCTGCCATCCACTCTTTTATAGCAAGCACAGTGGGAGGAAACAGGAGACTGTCTGATGGCGTTAGAGATGACACACCAGTACCTGCTAGCCTTACCCGCAATGCTTAGAGCCAGTTGAAGACAGAAGGAAATACCATAGCGGCTCTGTACATGTCAGCGTATGGAAATAAACCTCCATCTAATCAGTGTGGCAGCAATTGTTCTGCATTCAAGGCGAGACGCTCAAATAGTCTCCTACAGGCAGTCAGACAGGGCTGGGCCCTGGAGGGAGTCGCCATGCAAGGCCAGGCCTCCAGATAAAGACCAATGACCAGCCCCACCGCCTCCCCAGACAATAAACAATATACTATAATTGGTGTCACCTGATCCAGTAAAGTCTGGCTAGACTTCAGTCACCCAGGTGGGTGACCAGAACCTCTCAATCCATCTCTTCCAAAAAAGGTCCTGTTCTTTCCATGTGTCCTTGCTATATGACCCACTTCCCCACTGGATCAACCTCACCTGTGCAGGAGAGCTTGTAACCTCATTGGCTGACATGGTTTTGTCCCATGTTGTACCCACCTTGTGATTTTGCTCTATGAAACTCCCGTTGAGCTGTGGGCTCCTTGGCAACCCTCTCAGGCCCTCTCTCAGGGGCTATATCTCTCTCCCAATAAAAAGTTGTCGCCCCTGTTGTTCCTCAGAATTCATTCTTCAGTTTTGGGAAACATAAACTCAGGGTATCAGACATCTAGCAGGTTGGGAGTTAAACACTTTCTGTTAAATCAGAGAGCCTAGATCACCAACGCCGCTCTGTCACCTCTAAAGAGGAAGAAAGCCCAAGACCCCGCTGGCTCCCAGATGACTCCCTGGGAGACACGCCAGGTTTTCTTCATGTTTCTTTGGCCAACACAAGTCACAAGGTTACACCTAATGTCGAGAGTGTTGGACCAGGGGTGGGGTGCGTGCCTGTAATCCCAGCTCTCGGGAGACACAGGCAGGAGGATTGTCTCAAATTCAAGAACAGCCTCAGCTACGTAGTGGTAGTGGGTCATGTCTCAAAAAACAAAAAAACAAACAAGGGAGGAAAAAAAGAGTGTTGGGACCCAGGCAGAGGATTTAGCTCAGTGGCACAGCACCTGTCTGGCAAGCGCAAAGTCCTGAGTTCAATTCCCAGTACCAAAAAATCAATGTTAGGGCTTAGAAAACAACACCTGGGGCTGGGGATTTAGCTCAGTGGCATAAGCGCCTGCCTTACAAGTGTGTGGTCGTGAGTTCGATCCTCAGTACCGATAAAAAAGAAAAAGACAAAAAAAAAAAAAAAAGAAAGAAAGAAAGAAAGAAAGAAAGAAAGAAAACAATACCCAGAGTTTGGCACTTTGACTTACTGAGTGCTCTGCACTACAGAAAGGGTCTTAGGACCAAAGTCCCTCTGATGGGCATGGTAGCATACACCTGTGATCCCAGCACGCAGGAGACTGAGACAGGACTGAGGCCAGCCTGAACTACAAGGTGAGACTGCCTCAAAACAAACAAGAATCAAGGTCCCTCTGACCCCCTCCAACACACACAGGCATGCATGTGTGCACACACGTACCCACATACTTCCCTTCCAAACTCAAGCAGGACCTTTCTCAGACACTCGACTACCGAAGGCCAATCTATGAGAAGATTAACTTCCAGGAAAGAAGATCAGAGTGGACTGCATACCTAGGTACAAAGTGGACTTTGTCCCAGCCCATTGTCCTTCCCCATGCCTAGTCACTCCCTTTGAGAGTAAAAATCATTTACTCGGCCTTGAAATTGCCCCAGGAAGAGCAGATCCGCAGCTCGCTGGAATAAACCTGTGTGCGTCATACCTGTAAATCTGTCGCTGGTCCGTTTCTCCCTGCAGACTCCATTGTGGGAGCCTCCTAGAATACAGGGGACCATCTTACAGGGTAGGCATTTGCCCCCAAGGACTTGGAGTAGAGAGCTGGGAAGCTTGGGTCCCACCCCTCCCCACCCCGCCCCCTCCCCTCCTCTCCGCAGGTGCAGGGGAGAGCACAGGTTACAGCTGTCTCTAACATTCTTTTATTTTCATTGACAACAGTTTTACAATAATTTAAACATATACTACAGGTTTTACAGACAGATGTGGGTTCGAATCCTAAGTAGGTTACTCACCAGCTGTGTCCCTCTTGGACATGTGCCTTATCTTTTCCAGGGCTCAGTGTTCCCATCTCTATAGTGGTCACCTTCCCCCTTATCCATCCAAGGCTTCTCATCCCATCATTCCAGCGACTTGTGATCATCAGGAAAATAGTAAATGCAGCTGCACGTAGTTACTCATGCTTATAATCCCAGCACTCTGCGGGGCTGAGGCAAGGGGATTACAGCAAATTCAAGGCCAATTTGGGCTACCTAGAGTTCAAGGCCAGCCTGAACTACCTAGTAAGAACTTGTCTCAATCAAGCCAGACCAAACCAAACCAAACCAAACCAAAGGCCCTGTTGAGCTGAAAAGATAGCTCAGTACTGGGACACTCACCTGCATGTGTGAGGCCCTGAGTTAGAGCCCCAGAACCGAGAGGCCAATAAACTTCTGTATGAAGGGGTAAAAACAGAACCTGTCCATCCACAGATCAGGGTTCCCTAAGTCAACATCTGGACCCATGCCTCTGAATTTAAAACCAGCCTGAACTACTGCTGGTTTTCTTTGTTTGTTTGTTTGAAACAAAGTCCGGCCATGTAATTCAGGCTGGCTTTGAACTATGTAGCCCAGGCTGACCTACAACTTGCAGCAATCCTCCTGCCTCAGCCTCCCAAGTGCACCACTAAGCCTGGCCTTGTCTGTCTTTTTAAACTGAGAGAGCCGGGATTGACACATTCCCATTGGCTGAATCACTGTGCCACATGCATGACTGTCCCATGGTGGTAAGGGACAGTCCCAATGGGCGGCACTGAGACAGGAGATTAGGACGTGGAAAAACTGACTGGGGAAATAGATATGACCTCTGAATGGCAATAAATTTCTGAGGTACAAACAAGGTCTATTCCGGGACAAAGTGTAATTCATTCATAATCTGACAAAGTCTAAGGTACTCACTATATAGGTTCACAACTCCAGTGTCTGTAAGTCAGGGACTTATGCTACAAAATCCCAGGACCAGGCATACAGCTTTCCCAGAGCCCTGCAGGTGGACGTCTCCTGAGAACCTGAGCTTATTTTCCATAGGACTGCCTGGACAGGCCACCTGAGTCTCTCTCTCTCTCTCTCTCTCTCTCTCTCTCTCTCTCTCTCTCTCTCATCTCTCTTGGTCTGGGTTTGGGTTTGTAAGACACAGTTTCACTATATAATTCAGGATGAACTTGAACTCACTGTGTAGCCCAGGCTGGCCTCAAACTTGTAGTGATGCTTCTGCCTCAGCTTCCCTTGTGCTGAGATTAAGGTTCGCACCATCACACCCCGCCACTTTGAGTTTTTGCCACCGTATTCTCTCTTGCATGGCAGCCTGCCCTCTTGATCTAGAGTATATTTCTTTTCCTGTTTTTACTTGGGCAAACTCGCTCTGCAGAGCCTGGTTCTTTTCCTTCATTTAATAAAATGTTACTACCATTTGCATTTGTCCTAACCAGTTCTTCAGTCAGGACAGAGAGAACTGGAAATCACCCCCAGAAGGAGATTCCAGCACCCTAAAACCTGGTGACACTACAAGCTGTCTGAGGGGGGACAGTCAGACATGCACTGCCCCATTATGAATGTGTTAAGGGCCTGGCCCGCCCTGCTGGCAGGACCCACTTTCATGGATGCTCAAGTGCCCAGGCTCCGGAGGCTCACAGTGCCAGCCTGGGCTTGCAGCCTGGCTTTCCTGATCTGGGTCCAGATGTTCTGTACTCAAGTGCCAAGCTGCCCAATCAGAGGTTCCTCTCCAGCCTGACAGCGTGACGACCGCTAAACCAGATAGAAAAACTGTGGGCAGTCAGGGCTGGGCTCTCAGAGAAGTTGTGCAGAAGATAAGAACACACGTAGCTGTGTCTGGAGGCCAGGCCTCAAGATAAAGACGAATGACTACATGTACGTGCCTCTGGAGGGATAAACAGTAATGATCAATATTCTAAAACAAGGCACCAGTCACCGGGTGAGGGATCAGGACCTCCCGACCCATTCCTTCCTGGAAAGTTCTTTGTTCTTCCTGTGTGCCTCTGGCTACATGACCCGTGTCTGCTCTGGATCACTGTTACCTAAGCAGCTCTACATGTAACCTTACTGGTTGCCATAGATTTGCTGAATGTTGTACTCACCTTGTGATTTTGCTCTATGAAACTCCCTTCGAGCTGTGGGCTCCTCAGCTACCTTCTCAGGCCCCCCCAGGGGCTGTATCTCTGTCCCTCAGTAAAATTTCCTCTCTTAGGGGCTGGGGATTTAGCTCAGCGGCATAAGCGCCTGCCTTGTAAGCAGGCAGTCGTGAGTTCGATCCCTGGTACCGATAAAAACGAAAAAGACAAAAAAAAAAAAAAAAAAAAAAAAAATTTCCTCTCTTAACCTCTGTGGTTCTTCTGAATTCCTTCTTGGATTTTGGAAAGCTTGGACCCAGTGTACCCGACACCTGGCAGGTCGGGAGTTACATCTGTTTCCCTGTATCATCTGGAGGGCCTGGATCAGCAGGCTCAGAATTCAGTCCCTTTGGCAGACGCTGTGTGGTGTCCACAGGAAGTCACCAGCCCTGCCAAACAGTTGGTGTGCGCGCCTGGAGTTTGTTGGTGGCCTGGGGACTCTGGCTGGGAATCGGAGAGCCACAGCTCTGGTCTTCATGGGGCTGAGGGGCTGCTCCTTGGCCAGGCATCTGGCTGGGCGCCTGCGGGAACCAGCGGAGAGCTGCCCACGAGGGCTGGCTGGGTTCCGGGAACTTGTTCTTTCCATTGACACAGTCACAGGCTGTCTGTTGAGGTTCTGGGAACAGCTGACCTTTTGCAGGGCATCCCAGAGCCACCAGGGAGAGGAGAGAGGTGCTTGCTGCTTTCTGTAAATGGTTTAACCCTTTCCAGAAACAAAACTCACAAGAACAAGAGAGAGAGCAGAGAGAGGAAGAGAAAAAGAGGGAGGGAGAGAAAATATGGAGCGCAGGTCTTTTTGTTTTTACTTTTTTTTTTTTTTTTTTTTGTATCTAGGGTTGAACTCATGACCTGGTGCTTGCCAGGAAGGTGCTACGCCGCTGAGCTATATCTTCAGCCCAGGTTTGCCTTTTTGAGACAAGTTCTCGCTATGTAGTTCAGGCAGGGCTCAAACTCATTATATAGCTTAGGTTGGCCTTGAACTCACATTGATCCTCCTGCCTCAGCCTCCCACGTATTGAGATTACAGGCCTGCACCACTATGCCCAGCCTAGAGGACAATTTCTAAAGTACATTTGCCATCCCAGCATCTGGGAGGCTGAGGCAGGAGGATCACCTCAAAAAATTTGACAAGGGCCAGGGATTGGCTCAATAGCACAAGTGCCTGCCTGGCAAGTGCAAGGTTGATCCTTGGTTTAAAAAAAAAAAAATTGAGGAAAAGTGCTGGGGATGTAGTGCACATTCTCGGTGCACATTCTCTATTCCCTGGCTCAGTAGAGAGAGACAGAGAGAGAAAGGGAGAGGAGGAGGAGGAGGTCAGTTTCTCAGGAACCAGACAGATCTGTTTGGCCTGTTGTATTGCTGGAGAGATAGAGCCAGGCAGGGAGGGGCAGGAGAGAAGCTGCGGCTGCTTCTCTCTCTCTGTCTCTCTGTCTCTCTCTCTCTCATTCTCTCTCTCTCCCTCCCTCCCTGGGTCTCTCAGCCCAGAGGCTCAGGAAGGGTGGGTGGAAGGTGGCCTAGGGCTGGCAAGGACCTCAGGAAGGACGGGGACAGGGGAGCTAGAGTATCTGCTCTTCTGAGTGATGGAGCCCTCGCAGAGCCCCTTCCTCATCCGGCAGATGTTTATAGGTGCTGGTGACACAGTGTCGGGACAACCTGGACAGACAGGGCCCATGCCTCACGCTCTGAGCGCTCTGTGTCACATGCAGGTGCTAAGGAATGAGACGTGGCTTCCCTGCACCTCTGGATTCCTTGGCTGGACTATGCATTACACTGAACAGGAGAACACAGGGCCTGGGAGTGCAGCTCAGTGGACAGCCCCGTTCAGTCCCCAGCACCTCTGAGTGGGGTAGATGCTGGGCCTCTGGGGCTGGCGGGTACATGAGTTGTGGGGCGTGAGGGGAGGCAGTGCAGTGAATGAGGTTTGTCCTGAAACACGGGTGATACACGTGTCCCAGCACCCTTGGAAGACTGGGTGACAATCAGCCTGGGCCTGGTGTCCAGCAATGCTTCCTTGGTTGATTAGGCTCCTGGGGAGGGGATCCAGACAATTAAATTCCTTTTGAGGGTACTTTGGACAGAAAAGGGAGCCCAGAAAAAGCTTCTTCTGTTTTTGCTGATCCCCAAGCACCCTGCACTTACGGTACCCCGCTACCGGAACGGTGCTTTTCAGGGCCCTTTCCCAAACTCTTTCAGCAGCTGAATGCGGCAAGAGAGCTTCAGCTAGGAAATCAGGTGCTTTCCTGATATTTCCTTAAGCAGAGTTTAAAACCCTGCTGATCTAGGAGGTAGGGTGTGCCAAAACTGGCCAGAAAATAAACAGCACCTGCCAACTACGAGATCCCAAGACAGTGCCACAAAATTCTCGGGACCCGTAAGTGGAAGTTCTCAAGAGCTCCCAAGAGGGTGGACAGCATGAGACCAGATACCACGAGGAGCCCGCTGTTACGACTCCTCACAATAGCCTGCTCTGCATGATGCAGAGTGTGATTTTATTTTTGCTGTTTTGTTTTGTTTTTAGAGATACAGTCTCACTATGTAACCTAGTTTGCTCTTAAACTCACAGCAATCCTCCTGCTTCAGCCTACTGAGTGCTGGGATTACAGATCAACACCACACCTGGCTATCCTGCACCTTATTTATTTATTTATTTGGCCTTTTGTGAGGCAGGGTTTCACTGTATGGTTCAGCTGGCCTTGAACTCACTTTGTATCCCAGGCTGGCCTTGAATTCACAGCGCTCCTCTTGCCTTCTGAGTGCTGGAATTACAGGTGTGTGCCCCCACACCTGGCTTCCTGTACTTTTTTAAAGTGGAGAAGCTGATTCATATTTGAAAGCTTGGGTGAGAGAGCAGCCAAGAGGGAAGGAGTTGGGGACAAAGTCCAGGCAGTTCCTGGGGGTTGCTACTAACCTCAGCCTTGAGCAGGCTAGAATCACACAGGTGCCCCACTGCCCTGCAGCCAGAAAGAAGGCTGACAGAAGGGCTCTGCTCGGGGCCTGTCAGAGTGCTGCAGGGACCTTTTAGCAGTGTCCGCTGGGCAGAAATGGCTTCAGGGTTAGGTTTTAGGAGTGTAAGGGTAAAGAGAACTTTCCGAAGGTTGGAGAAATCACACCTATGAACTAACAGGTATCAAGGGACAGGGTGCAGGCCACGGCGTCAAACTTCAGCTCCCAAAAAGCAAATAAAATAAAAGACCCACTAACATCAGACAGGACAGGAAAAAAGATTTATAAATTAATTATGTGGATGGGAGCATCACAAGAAAAAAGGAGTACCTTACAATCTAGTGAGAAAACTGATTTTCAGAACCGAGGACTGAAACCAGGGCCTTCGTACTGAACTGCCTTCCCAGCCCTTTTTTTATTCATTGTTTTGAAATAGAGTTACCCAGGTTGGGCTTCAACCAGGAATCTTCCTGCCTCAGCTTCCTGGAACACTAGGATTATAGGCATTCACTGTTATGACCATATGAAATTTAAAGCTCCTATGCTCTCTTTACTGAGGAGAGTT